CCATTGAGCCAAACCGGTTTCGGCTATCACATTTTCTTTAGAGATAAACTTCTTCCAGGATTAATCAAAACTCACCCTACATCCTGTTTTTCATGAGGACTTTCATGTCTAGTTTTTTGTTTGTTTTTTTTTACCACTCTTTGGCACTTCCTATTGGCCCTGAAGCTCTCTTACTGGAAACTCTCAGCTTCCATGAGAGTTTTTGTCCTGGTTCTCCAAACTTAGTAGCCACCCTGCATTCTCATTCACTTGTGTCTTTTATGCCACCATGCCTGAAATATAGTGTTTCTTCAGGTTCTATCTTGAGTTTCTTCCTTTCTCATTTCACATACCACCAACTATTTTCTGATAACTCATAAATGTGCATTCTAGTTCCTGAAATGTAGAGTCGTATTTCTGCGATTGTTTAAGAATATCCACAGCCGCCGACGGTTTGGCTCAATGGATAGAGTGTTGGCCTGCGGACTGAAAGATCCCCAGGTTTGATCCTGGTCAAGGGCATGTACTGCGGTTGCGGGCACATCCCCAGTAGGGGGTGTGCAAGAGGCAGCTGATCTATGATTCACTCTCAAGGATGCTTCTAACTCTCTATCCCTCTCTCTTCCTCTGTAAAAAGTCAATAAAATGCATTAGAAAAAAAGAACATCCACTAAACTCACCCACCTCGGTTGTCAAGTTGTTGCCTCCACCTTCCCCTCTAACAGTACCTCTCTTTGTGGTGGCAGCATTATTGTTTTCCTTGTTGATCTCTCTTTGCCTTGGAAAGCTCATTCCTCCTTTAAGAATAACTTAAATCCTCATCTCTGCTTGGAAATGTTCCTGAGCTTAATGGTGTTTTTTTTTCTTTTCTGTGCTCTAGCTCTTTGATTCCATAACAACATCGCTTTATTTCTGTTTCATATGTATTCCCTATGTTGTCATTATTAATTTACTCTAAGTCATGATTACTTATTAGTTTCTTTTGAGCTCAACTTCACGTTATCTCTGTGTCATTCAAACTACCAGTCTGATTCATACAAATGAGGAGCTCAAGAAATACTTTTGAATAAATGAATGAACATCACCTCTGCCTCTGCAGATAGAGCCATAGTTGGATATACCCCTCATTGAATCCATCCCAATTTTTTTCATTTTTCTAGACATTAATCACCTCCCATCTCAACTAGTTTTCTTTTTTCCTAAATTAAATTCTTATTTATTTTGAAAACTTAAATAAAAAAATATTAAAGGGATGATATTCTTTTTTATTGTGGTACAAATACATAACATAAAATTTACAATTTTAATCATTTTTAGGTATACATTCACTGGCATTAAGCACATTCACAATGCTGTGCAACCATCTCCCTTATTAATTTCTAGAACTTATTCCTCATCTCAAGTAGGAATTTTGTACCTATTCCTATATAATAAAGAGGTAATATGGAAATTGACAATCATTCCAACACACCTAATGGCCTCCCCATGTAGTCAAAGATGGCCACCCCCATGTGGACACAAGATGGCCACCACAAGATGGCTGGCAGGGAAAGGCAGTTGGGAGGGACCAGGCCTAAAAGGGAGGGCAGTTGGGGGCAATCAGGCCTGAAGGGAAGGACAGTTAGGGGTATTAACCAAAGATCTTATATGCATAAATGCATTACTTATGGACACAGACAATGGGGTGGTGAAGGCCTGGAGCAAGGTGGGATCTGGGTAGAGGGGGGCAATGGAGGAATATACAGAGGAGGCATCTGTAACACTCTCAACAATAATGATTTTTTAAAAAAATATCACCACTAGCGAGGAGTGGAACTGAAACTTTAAGCCCAGCAATCTGGCTCTGGCTTGCTTGATCTTAAATAATCTATAATTGCTGCTCTGGGATAGACAAGTGACTCCAAATAGATTTTAAAAATAAATTGTATAACCAAATATTCTTCCCTAAAATATGAGGGCTCTAGGAATTCTGAATAATTATTCCCTAACATTTTTTAGGGTATAAATATAGTGATATTTAAAAATTCACAGCCACAATTGGGTGAACAATACATACTAGTAAAAACTCTATTATTTTCTAAAATGTTTAGTAATTTTATTTGAGAGTAGTTGATACATGATGTTAGCAATATTTCTTTAACCGCAGGCCATGCTGACTATATTTTGCTGTTTAATAATAGGCTAATTCCACCTTAACTATATTTCACAGCTTTGTTGATTGTTATCCTTATAATTTTCCTGTCATTATCCTCTCAGCTCCTACTTTTCATTCTCTGGCATTTGGTTCATGGGGTAAAACTACTGCTTCCTTATGCGTGCAGTTTATATGCTCTCACGTTTTTATGAAATCTCTCTAAAGTATAATCTGTATATCACCATAAGCATGGCTTACCTACTAGACTAGTAAAAATTCACACTCTCTACTTTTAAAATGTGGTAGCATATCAGATCAGACTAAAATTCTGTGTTAGAAGGTGTTCTTTTTAAATATTCTTGAGCTTTTTAGCTTCTAAAACAAATAATTGTAATAAAACAGTTCTCTCACACCTAGATAAGTCTAAAAGGAATTATTTTACCTATCTAGGCAGAAACAATATTAAGTTTTTGAAGTTGGTATTCTAAAAATCAACACTTGAAAGATGCTTAGCCAAGTAATGCCAGAATTATCATCTGCAGTATAAAAAGCTGTCCTCTGATTACTTTTCCTAGTAGTAATCTCATTGGAAAGGAGAAAACACATAAGCTATATCTGTAATTAGAATGCGAAGTCACTCTTTTATCAGTGCTTAGGAAAGATTGATTCCTCTCAATACTCTCTCTACTTAGGTGAACAATTGGAGCACTTGCACTGATTCAGCAGTTCAAAAGCTGTATAAACTAGAATACTCTCAAGATTAAAAAAAGGACAATGCCATTATTTGCATATGCATTTTAAATATTTAAGTAGTTATATTTGCTTAATAATCTGTAAGCATTTTACTTTCTCATCAAGCAAAACAATTTAAGGCTTAGGTCCACACAGTTTTCCATGGCCAACGTGGAAAAGTGACCCAAAAGGTCACAATAATGCTTCCATCAAAGGAATATATGTTTGGTCTATTTTTAAATGCAGGCCACTCCTATTTAGCAATGGGAATGGCCAAGTTGAATTTGATTCTGGCACTCAGCAAAATGCTAATTTAGTCTTTAGCTCAGTCAAAATTTTTTTTCTGTTGAGGAAAAAATATGTAGTAAAATTATTTTCTTTTACCAACAGTATTCAATACCAACAAAGGATGTCTGCAAACTATATGGAGAATACCATCATCTAAAGTTGTCCAGAAAAAATAGAACCAAATAAAAAAAAAATAGTTTAATTTAGGTAGCTCTTTGCAACAGAAATGTTGCTCGAGATAATGACATTTCTGGCTTGTTGCCTTGTTTGATGCTCCCAGAACTGGTTTCCTTTGAGACTATTAAATAAAAGGATTGATGTGCTATGGAACTTGAGTCAGTGGTGACCTTTGTATGAGGAATAGTTGACTCCTTGATTACTTTTGGCATTTCATTTTACACATCTTTTTGAAATCAACTCATGATAGTATAGTCAATTAAATTCCATCTGTTAACTACTCGATGTACTTTTTATATGTATCTTGATTAGTGTTATATTATCCTAAATTTTATTAAAAATAAATGAACTGAGGGCATTAAATATAGAGCAAAGGAAGTGAGGGGCTCTGTAGACAAGCAGAAGAAAATGAAATTTCCATTTCCACTGTCATCATCATCATCATCATCATCAATAAATGTATTGATTAAGTTTACATATGCACTTGCCATTTTTTTCCTTTTCTCCATTATAGTCTTTCTTGAAAGGATATACATTTTAGAATTATTAAAAGCATATTAATTTAAATATAGCCTAATTCCTCTCTTTTAAAAAAAATGATTTGAGAGAGTAAAACATCAATCTGAGAGAGAAGCATCAATTTGTTGCCTCCTGCATGCACCCCACACAGGGATCAAACCTGCAACCTAGCTATCTGCTCTGGTCAGGAATTGAACCTTCCACCTTTTGATGTATGGGACAATGCTCCAACCAACTGAGTCACACCAGCCTGACTCATTTCCTTCTTAAAAAGCAGCAGGGAGTGTGGTAGAGTACCAGCTTCTATGACAAATCACTGGCACTCTGTCACCAAATGTGTCTGAAGTAAAGGGAGAAATCTCATCATCGCATACACAGAGAAAATATAAAACGTTAAACTTAGCATGCTTTCTATTTCCAAATATTCCTCCCTCTAAATCAAAAGTGCTATAGAAATTCAGAGAAAGAAGATTAGATTTAAACCAGACTTTGAAGGTTAGGTAGGGTTTGAGCAAGCTGCCAGGGTTACTAAATGCTACTATATTTCAGCCTGGAGGAAAGTCTTGAGCAAAGGCAGAGAAACACAATAGAACATGAGCAGGTAGGCATCATTGCACAGGCAGGTAGTTTGAGGAGCAGTGGTATTCTAGACTGTATATTGAGACTGCATTTTACAGAGGTTTTCTTCCTTGGAACAGTAAGTCATGTGACTTCTGAGCATGCCCAAAGCTGAAGATGAACTTCACAGTTTCTCAGCTACCACAGTGCAAGGGTGAACATCTCGGTGCCTTGTAGGCATCAAGGTAGGTAGTAATATGAGCATAGGATAGACTTGCAGTGGTCCTTGTAACTCTTTGTTGATTTAGTCATTTTTATAACTGGGAGCTGTCCAGCATTATGATGGAAAAGCATCTATAGATCCAAGGGAACAGAGGGAAGCAGAGTTTGGACTCATCATTCCCTAGAGCCCGGCTAACACAGGAAGAGACTTGTCTTCCAACTTGGATCCATATCTTTTTCTTTGCCATAAAAGATTTTCAAAGTCCTAATTATTTATTTGTAAATGGCGCCTAACAATATTGAACCCAGGCCCCAAACTGTACAGTCTATATGCACATGGCAATATTTGGTAAAGACTTTCTGTAAGGACTATATCTTGGTAGAGGTGTCACATAGAGAGAACTGTCCCTCTAGTATCAAGCTTGGATACCCTGCCCCACCGATGTGTAGAGATAAAGTTTGAAAAAATGGGGATGAGAACTGCATCAAGCTAAAGACTGGCACAAATGGGCTTAAGAAAGCGGGTATCTGGACCTAATTCCTAGAAAGTGGACAGAAAATATCCTTTTGGTCTATTTTTAAATGTTTAAATTTTTACTTCCTTTCTGGCCTTTCTCTGCTAAATTGCTACCTCTGTTGTCCTAGTTTAATAGAAAGGAAAGAGACAGATAGCCTGGAGAGTGAGACAGGATAATGTTCCAGCTGCCATTTCCCAGTTTTGTGACCCTAATGACTTTAAGTCTCAGTTTTTTCTTCTGTAAAATAGGGATGACCATATTTGTACTTTTATGACATTAATTGAGGGAGCACATATAAAACAGCCAGTACAGAGCTGGAAATGCAACAACCACATACTTCCAGCTATTTTATGTCCCTACTTCTTTCCTTCCTCCTCTTCCCTCATTTTGCCTCTCATCCCTATCTCTCCATTCTTTGCCTCATTCTTTACTTATTATCTATTGAAAAATGTGGTTTAACCACTTCAAATTTGCTAAATACTATGCTTGGCACTGAGGAAACAATGGTGCCTTGATGGGAAATATATCCTTGTCATCATCAGTTTACCATCTAATGAGAGACAAACATTGATCAGAGGAGGATATAAATGAATGTAGAAATTACAACTATTTTATTTCAAGCAGAATTACATGGTGCTATAAGAGCAAATATATTAATATATATAAAATAAATATTATTAATATATTTTCCTTTTCTCCTTTTTATGAGTATAAACAGAAGAATACATTATACTATACTAGACCTCAGTAAATGACCAAAAATTTAAATGTTTATATGTTGTTGGATGGATTTTGAAAACATATGAAGATTGGTACTTCTGTATGTTAAAATTCTGGAATCAGGAAGATGAATAACAGACATGACAACCTAACATATTTATATTTCATGTTTTCCTTTTATGCTTCTTTTGCTAATTTTTTCTTTTGTATGAGAGTTATTTTAGTAGCTTCATCTGTTTACTCTTCCTTTGATTAAATGAATAGAAATTCCTTCCTTCCTCTGGGGGAATAATGTACTTTGGAGTTCAGAACAGTGTGTTGCCCAGAAGCTATATGTTCAATCACATTACGAACACTCAATAGAAGATAAGCTTCGTCCTTCATAGGAGTTTCACTGTAATGAAAAGAGCTGAGGCAGCTTCAGAGGATAGAATGCCCTTGAGGAGCTGAAGCTTCTCCCAGACTCTGCATCTTGGACAGAACCAAGAACTCTAAGTGCCCATCCACATAAGTCAGCAATCCCAAGCAGCAAGGCACTCTCTTATTGGATAATAATTCTATCCTCGATACTCTCTGAAGGGATGGGTCCTTTGCAGAGGGCTTTGGAGTCTGGAGTAAAAATGACTTTTTCTTAAAGGATTGTTCCTGGGAAACCTCTTTTCTTCACTGACCCTGCGTACCAAGGCTGGGGAATTTGTGTCCTGACAGTGTGCTTATGTCACATAAACATAATCTAATCTAACATTTCTTCTCCTTAAAGGAAGTGACTCTTTCGGGCATGAAACTTGAAGACAAAAATAAAAGATGGCTACCCCAAATCTGTAACAGAGAATTTGGAGTTAACTGATTCACAAAGCATCCCAGCCAAGAGCTTCCATTTCAGAAGTCACATGAGTGCAGATCATTAACCTATGTATGGTGACATTTGTTGTACTAGGATGGCCTTTATGTAACACTGTCCTTCCACTTCACCCCTCACCCCCCCACCCACATACACACACGTGGTATCTCTCTCCCACTACCCATCATCTGATTCCACTTCCTTCTCTGGTTACTTCCTTATTTCTTTCCTCCCCGAAGCAACTTCCCTGGAGAGTATTGCCATCTCTAGTTCATCTCCTCTCCTCTCTTGCACTCCAGTGCTTTCTTCCCCACCACTTCACCCAAACTGCTCCTTTGAAGGTGCTCTAAGTTGCTGAATCAGAAAGTCAATTCTTTGTTCTAAGATCAAAGTGTCAATCTTGCTTGATTCATTCATAGAATTTGATACAGCTGGCCACAAGCTCCTCCTTCTTCACTTGGTTTTAGCACCCTGCATTCTCCTGGTTTTCCTCCCACCTAACTGCCCTCTGCTACTCAGTCTCTGCATTGCATCAGCCCCTTTGCCCAGGAGTGACCCAGCTCTCAGCACTAGGTCCACTTATTTTTATTGTCATATTCTTCACTCCTTTGGAAATCATATCCAGTGACCAGTTTTCTAACATTCATACACGAATGACATTCAAAAGCATATCTCCAGGTAAGATCAATTCCCTGAATTTCAGACTCATATACCCAATTGCCTATGTGTAATTCCCATTTGATATCTGGTAAGCATGTCAACATTAGCATGCCCCAAACTCCACTCTAATCCTCCAGTCTGGTTCTGTTGCCCCAATTTAGTTAAACGTAGCATCATTCTCCCAAGTTGCTCAGACCAAAAACCTTGGAATCCTCATAGCCTTCGTTCTCTTACACTCACTGTCCAGTCTGTCAGCTCAACATCTGAAATGTACTTAAGTGTTTGATCCCTTCTCTGTATTTCTTCTGACAACACCCTGGTTCAAACCACCATCTTCTCTCCGTTGGATTATTGCTATTCTGCCTTGTCTCTCACAGACCAATTTAGTTTAGGATCCAGAGATCTAGTTAAAACAGATGTTAGAAATATCAGAGCTGCTACTTCTCTGCTTAAAACTTTGCATTAACTTCCAATCTCATTGTGGATAAAACCAGAATCATTGGTATGGTCTACAAGGCCAGTGCTAGCTGAGCCCCAGGTTAGCAAGCCCTGCCCTCATTCTGTACTAGTGCCACTCACTGGCCTCCTTACTGTTCCTCATAGACCCAGACATGCTCCTGCTCAAGGCTTTTGCACTTTTCTGGAATTCCCTTTCCCTGGATGTCCGAGGCCATTAGTTCTTAAATGTCAACTCAGTATGTATTTTTTGGACTACAGCTCAACTAAAACCCCAACATCTACACCTCTTCCCAACACTCTTTTTACTCACCTGTGTTTTCTTTTCCTCTATATTTTTGTCAACCCCCTTCTAATATAATATGTATTTTACTTATTTATATTGCCTCTTTCTGTTTCTCACACCTTCCTTTCACAAAAATGCAAGTTCCGCAAAAGCAAAGGACCTTTTTCTTACTGCCATATTTTCCTGGCTTAGGACAGTGGTTGGCACATAGAGGTGGTCAATAAATGTTTCTCAGTTGGATAAATGTAATTGTAAATCAACTTTAAAATGCATCCTCACCCTGATTGATGTGTTTCTGCTTTACATCTGACTCTGTTCTGCTTCTTGTGTGCTGTTCCAGTCTCCTGCCCTCACTGGGTGGGTGATAGGGAAAGACAAGGCTGATGCCAACAGAACTATGTCACTGGATGTGGTTGGCCCTCTGGTGCCGCTGCTTGTCTGTAAGCACATGGTTCCCCCACTGCACTGAGGCCACCCGTCCTGTGATACCAGGAAATAACTGAATGCTGCGTGCCAGGACCTCTCTGGGAGCTGTGTGTGGACTACTTTCTTTTATAAGATGAATTGCATTGAAAAGTAATAGAACCATCTCTGTGTGTATGAGTGTTTTCATTTAAAAGAGAATAAAGCAAAGCTAAAAGTCATTCAGAAGTATTTTTCTGCGTGCCTTATGCTTGCATAATAAATACATTAGCTCTTTAGCCAGGGCACACACTTGCTTATTGAATGCCTCTCACTGAAATTAAGCCATATTTCTATTTTTTGATATAAAGTTATTATTGAAAAAAAGAAACATTTTTTAACGCCAGGATCATGTAGAAAGATTTGTGCTAGGATTTACAAGGTATCAGGCAGAAAAATCAGGAAGCATGCAGCAGTGTTGTTGATTTACCAGAACTTCTACACCCCCTTCAGCAGATGCTATAAAAGGTTTGAGAAATGGGCACTAGTAGAAACCTCTAGACTCTTCCTCTCCACAGCATTGACAGAGGACACAGAATCCTGCTGCTTAGCTTAAAGATGTTTCTAGAAAATTTCTTAGTGAAGAATATTCCCAAGATAAAAGTTGCTTTATCTCCTACCCTCATTTTACTTATTTGCCTCAAAGGAGTAAAAACAAGACTGCAAAATGATGCGGACTTACACAAATCCCATGCTATAAAGAAGCACATTATTGGAAACTTCAAATACATTATCCAAGTAGTTTTAAAGCGAAAGAGCAATGATTATGACCAACTTTTCATATAAATAATAATTACTAAACCAGAATATTGATCTCTAAGTAAAATGAGGGGCAACCTGAATCATAAATTTTCTGATTTGGATTAAAAAAAAATATATATTTCAAGTAAATATTAGGTCCAAATTATACTGATGGAACTTTAGACTCAGATAATTGAGATGGAAACATTTTGGTTCAAAGAAAAAAATTAAGCAATTATTTCAATGAATGTATCTAAGGCACAACATTAAAAAAAGAATAAAAAAATAAAAATTTTATGGCAGTATTCTTCACTGTGATAAAATTAGTGACATACAAAATGAAAGCAATGCCAGCATTTCCTGATATTCTGTATTGTGATTGCCAAATGTTTTTATCTTGTGTCCTGAATTTTTCTTGTCCAGAAACAAAAATACAAAGTGATATTGTAAGTGAATATTTGAGTTAAGCCCACTTTTTTTTTCAGCTCATAGTCCTATTTTTTTCATAAGATTATAATATATTGAGTGGCCAGATTATTATGATCTCTGAATGCATAATAATCTAGCCACTCAGTGTGTGTGTGTGTGTGTGTGTGTGTGTGTGTGTGTGTGTGTATTAGAGGCCCGGTGCATGAATTTGTGCATTGGTGGGGCCCAGCCAGCCTGGCCAGGAGGAGAGGGCATGGGCTGTTGTCTGGCCTGCCTGCTGGTCGAACTCCTGGTGGAGGGGACAATTTGCATATTAGCCTTTTATTATATAGGATATACACTGA